GGAGAGTTAAACTCCTATCCATAAACCAAGTTAGGGTTGGGTTTGGTAGGGGATTTGCGAAAATTAGGGGATCCTGATAGGAGAGTTCCTGAAGAGTTTCCAAGCATGAGTGAGTGAGTGAGTGAGTGAGTGAGTGAGTGAGCAGTTCACTGGAGGGGAGGTGGGAAGCTGGATTGAGAGGAGGGCAGGAATCAAGGGTGAGCAAGAGGTTTTCAAGAAACATGACATGGAAGAGTTGTAGTTTAGAGGGAGCTAGATTTGCCAGAGACATGTGGGTTACTTAAATCCTTAAGCTGGTAGGGGGAAAGGACAGAGATAGGCTGACGCAAAGTGGAGCCAGAAGAGCGGTAGTGGTCAGAGCACAGAGACAAGGTTGCCAGTCCCAGATGGTGGTATTCAGCTGTTTAGAGATAAGCTACTGGTGCAAAAGTGGGACCCCTCATCTGTTCCAAACCCCTAATTCCAGGTTGGGGAGAGCCAGAGCCAGTGCCTTTAAGAGGGCTTCCCAGATAGTGTGGAATGCTGTTGTAACAGGCCCTAAGGGGTCAACAGGCTCAGGTGAGTTTCCTTTAGAGGCTTCATAGAGCAGCTTTGCCAAGAGGGCAAAGTTAGGAATCCAGGTGTGCAGGTACCCTGCAATGTCTAGGAAAGACAGAATTTTCCCCTTGGTTGTGGAGGGTCTTTAAAGACCTTAGGTAATTTTTCCTATCTATAGTTAAATGGCAGGATGTACGTGTGAGAAGGAACCCCAAGTACTTGACTTGAGGGAGATAAAGCTGAGTCTTAGCTGAAGATATCCTATGTCCCTTGCACCCCAGAAAATTAAGAAGTTTGATTGTGTGGGCCTTGGAGACTGAGAGAGATGGAGAGCAAAAAAGTAGGTTATCAACATATTGTAGGATGGCAGAGAGGTTAAGGTCTAGGGAGGTTAAATCTCAGGCTGTGCTTGTCCAAAGTGGTGAGGGCTATCTCGAAACACATGTGGCAGGACAGTCCAGGTTAGATCATAGTTGCGAGTGATGTATTTAAAATCTTGTATGAAGTGTGTAGGATTAGTAGAAAAATAGCCTATTTTGCATATGAGGTGAGATAGATTTCTAAGAGAGAAAGGGACATGGACTTTGACCATCCCATCAGGGTTTGCTACCTCCCGGAGGGGGAAAGATACCATGGGCAGGGGGTTGAGACTGGGTGTGGGAGCGAGTGTGGCTTGACATAGGAGAGGGATTGGGAGAAGGGAGTCCTGGGAAGAGGCCAGAGTGGGAGATATGGGAGGGGTGTCCTGTCGATGAGGGGATGCAGGGGCAGAGGTATCAGAGGCAGGGTCTGGAATTGAAGTAGAAGTAGATACAGGAGGGATAAATGGGTTATTTGAGCTAGAAGCCAGAATAGGGGAGACTAGGGAATATTTGAAAAGAAGGTATTGAAGGTTTTAGATTTCTTGAGTAGAGGAGAGTCAGTGGAAGGAGAGCAGGTGATGGACTTAGAGCGGTGCCAGAGAGGAGAGGTGGAAGATCATGGAGAGGGTGTTCAAGGCAGAGACAGGAGGGGAGCCAGGCTGGGCTTTGGAGTGGAAAGCAAAGGAGGGTATAGCAAAGGGAGAGCAGGGGGAGGACTTGGCTGTGCCTCAGGCTGGGGAACAGGAGGAGATTGAGGATGGGTCCTAATCAGAGGCAGTTCATCAGCTATGGTAAGATAAAAAGCTGAGGTGGAGGGGTAGGGAGGAGGAGGACAGAGGGAGGCCCCTGCAGTTTGGGATCCATGAAACTGTCTTAGCCAGATGAACCTGTTGGGAAAAACATGGGACACAGAGGGAGGGATTAGCACAGAGATCAAAGAAAGCTTGAATGTATGATAATGCAGACCGTTTGCCTTTATGATGGCAGAAATTTTCTAAATCTCTCAAAATATTGAACTTTAAGGTTCTGGTGTCCAGCCAAACAGAGTCATTAGCTAACTTGTACTGAGGCCAGGCAGTGGTGCACAGGAACTTCAGGTGTTTTGGCCTGATTGTATCTGAAAGTCCTAGTTGTTTTAAGGATTTAAGAAGACAAGCAAGAGATGTAAGACCCTGAGACTTTGAGTAGGTAGTTCCCATAGTGACAGATTAAGTACAGAGTGAAGAGGAGATAGAGAAAGAACCGAGCAAGAGGGTAGGAGATGGAGACTGAACCAAGCAGGCAGGAGACAAAGAAAATCCTCTCTCCATAGGGATTGGAGGCAGGATCACGAGTCTGGGCAGGAAAGCACAGCAGATGAGGAAGAGAGAGACAGGGAGGGAGTAGAGGGAAAATGGGTTTGGCTCAGTCATGCAAAACGAGAGCAAGGAGAACCAGGTACCAAAAGAAAGCATCCTTTCTTTTTGCACAGGTTTGAGTTATTTTTGAGTTATTTTCAAGTCCCAGAAGGTGGCATCCCACAATTAGATCATCAGGGAGAGGAAAGGTGAGATCCTTTCCTGGACAGGAAGTAGTGCATGTTCCTATCTCTAGAAATAGCATCCTGTAGCTAGAGAAAGGAAGGGATTTTCTGACATGTGTGTGATTTTGAGGCAAGCAAGATGAGTGGAAAACTTTGCAATGAGAGCGTCGCATGACCACCCAGTAGATGGAGATAAAGTACAAGGAATGGGATGGGAGAAAAGCAGAAAAAAATGCAGTGAGCCAGAAGGGAGGGAAGCTTGTGGAACAAGTTGATCCCAAGGTTTAGTAGAGGCTGAGGGAAGATGAGCTCCAGAAGGGCAGTGGCTTAACAGAGATTTAGTGGAGCCCCAGAAGGGCTGGGGGAGGAGAGAGATAGGGAGAGAGGGAGAGAGAGATTAATTCATATATTTTAATACCAGGAACCATGTTGTAAAGAGAGAATATTTTTGCTGAAAAAAATATTTTGATGTTAACATTTTTAGTTAGTATGAGATTTTAGTTAAAAATTAATATGATACCAAGTAAATTAATTTTAAGAAACATAAATTTATGTTGACTGTATATACATATTTATTTATACAGTCTTTTTTGAGAATGTGGTTGGTTTATCATTTTTAAACTAAAACACCTTTGAAGTAGACAAACAAAATGAGTACATCTTAAAACACCATGAAAGTAAACTAAAACAAAAATGGTATTTAACAAATAGGATTTTACCCAACCAGCTTAGATGTCATTTTGTATAGGTAATTAGTGGTCTAAAGAAAGAATTAAGTTTCCATGTAGATTTGAGGTAGCATCTGTTTTCCTTTTTAGAGCTAAATAACTGAAGGAAGTTAATAAACCCTTGTCAATCTAAGAACATAAATCAGAGGAGACAGGAAGGACAAAAGGAAACGTTAACAGATTAGGTTAAGAATAAATAAAATGTAAATAACACTGAAAATAATCTCATTAGTTAGTTTCATTATAGACAGAAATACCCTCTGTTGAAATTAATTTACACTTTAGCTGTTTACAACTGCACAGTGCTTTTACTCTTAGGCTGTTTTGTTGTTCTCTTCCTTGTCACAGGGTCAGGGAACCAGCCTGAACCTGGAAAAGTCTTGGAGAACACATCTTCAGATAATAGGCTTGAGTCTGAAGTAGGAAGGTTAATCCCATCTCCAGAGTCAGCGTCTCAGTGAGCTCAAACACCACGTGACAATTTAACAATATAATTAATATTACCCTGACATTATAATTAGAAAGCACTCAGGGAATAATGGGGTAGGAACATAAGCAAGCATAGAGCATCTGAGAGAGGGAAATAGCTCTGTTCCAGAGAAAAACAGGCTTAGAATCACAGTGTAGAAAGGAGAGGAGTTAAGACCAGTCGAGATGGCATCTCTAGCCTCTCAGTCAAATAGACTATTACTTTTTACCTCTCATTGTTGGAACTATGTGTCGGTACTAGATTGTCTCTTGAAAGGTTTTGGCCCTGGAGTACAGCAAATTTCCACATGCTTCACAGGTCTAGTCATCATAAAGTGTCAGCTCCCTTTGCACCTTGGAGGCAAATGGCTAGAAAAAATTTAAGTTCCCTTTAGAAACTAACAAATATACTATGTAAAACAGTAAGAATTTAAAATAGTCATTTTCAGAAATCTGTAAAAATACCATATAAAAGATGTTAAAATCTAAATAATTCCCTTAAAATCACCAGATAAAGATGTCATTCAAACTATGTCAAAAACCTAAAAGTAATTCCTTTTAAAAATGCATATGCCTTTAATCCCAGCACTTGGGAGGCAGAGGTAGGCAGATCTCTGTGAGTTCAAGGCCAGACTTGTCTACATAATGAGTTCCAGGACATCTGGGGCTACAGGGAGACCCTGTCTCAAAAAGACTCCCCCCCAAATAATCTGTAAATGCAGGGCATGGTGGCACACTCCTGTAGCCCCAGCACTTGGGAGGCAGGGGCAGGTGGATCTCTGTGAGTTCAAGGCCAGCCTGGTCTAAATAATGAGTTCCAGGACAACTTGGGCTACAAAAAGACCAAAAAATAAATAAAAAATCCATAAATATGTCAAACAATATAAAAACTTAGAATAATTATCCTTAAAAAACAGTAAATATACCATAGAAGTTAAAACTCAAAGTAATCCCCTTTAGAAACAGGCCCTAAACAATGTTAAATTTTAAACTCCCATTGTGTAGATCTGGCATTACTCCCTTCCTCTGAACTAGAAATGTATTGTTTATTCTATGACATCATCAAGAAACAAAAACAAAAATAAACTGCAAGAGACTCCTAGGCACCACTGGTACCAGTCACTGAGTCTTGTGCTCCTTCTGAGCTACCAGCTTGGATGATGCATTTGTTACTTTTCTCTTCACTGTGATAGAATACCTGACAAAGGCAACTTGAGAGAGAGAGGTTTATTTGGGAAGATAGAGGGTCTAATGCATCATACAGACCCTCCAGGAAAAGTTGACACAGAGCACATCTAGGCTTTAGGGAATTTGCACTAATTGGCATTGCCTAGTGCCAGGAATCCCAGCAGAAAGGAAGTCACATGTCAGCCTGTTTCCCAGCCTTCTCCCCAGAGGTCTGAGAAGAGAGTGAAAAGGCGATGGTTTCAGTTTCTGAGAACAGGAACTTGCAACTACTTCTTTCTGTTTCCTGATACTAAATGCAGGGGCACACCCACAGCTTAAAGAAACTATTTTATAGCTCTGTTCTGATGTTTCAGTTGATGTGAAAGTCTACAAGACAGACAGCCAGATCTTTGAGGAGTCCTGTGTCCCTGAAAAGACTGAAAACAGCTTCCAGGTTCACAGCAGCGATGGGGTAAGTTCTCTGCCTTTCTGCAGTGTTTAAAGTTGTAGAAAATGCTTATCCATGTACATTCAGTGGGACTGTTCTCAGTGAGGTGAAGGTGTCAAATGGTTCTATTCAAGCATCTGCCTGGAATGTGTGCATGGGTATGCATGTGTATTCATGCATAACCATAAGCTGTTTTCTTAACACAGGCATTTTTCTTTGGCTACCATTGATTGGCCTATGGCAACTGGCTTTAGCCCAAAGAAGGGGGAGAGAATTGGGAAAAGAGCTCTGCAAAGGAAAATAATGATATCTGATTTCAGAGATTATTTCTTCACTAAATTTATTGTGCCTTTGAGGCCGGAGATTAAGATCAAAGGGAAAGTCTAGATTAATGAAAGAAGCCAAAGGCAGAGGAAGGCTGGAACTGATCCTGGCAGCTGGCTGCATGCAGCAAAACACAGCATGAGCAGAAAACAGTGCACAATACATAAGCAGCCCACGGATGGTCACATGGCCCCCAGCTCCAGCTGTTTTTGAATCATGGACATAATTTGTATTTTGGCCCATTTTTAAGCTCATTTGCTTGTTGTAATAAGCTGTTTCCTCTCGTGCTAGCTATGCATCTGTCAACAAATCCATGTTTTGAGACTCAAGAACTTGGAAGCTTCAGTGGATGCCCTTTGAACTCAGATTAGTACCTGCAACATCTAGATAAGGGAGGGATAGGCTGTTTGGGTAGCTATTGCTTTCTGTTCATGCCTCACCATGGAAGAAAATCAGGAACTGTATAGCTGTGTTAGCCAAACTCAAGGTGTCTCAGATGCCTGTGTGGTAGGTATCCATTAGGACAAATCCATGACTTTTTTTCTCTAGATGTCTGGTCTCATTTCTAGGTGCTATTATTACCTGGGAAATTGGGGTCATCTTTCTGGGACCTTAGTCTCATTAATAAAACATATTAAAATGGACTCAGAAGAAAGCTCAAGGATAATTCTATTAGTG